GGAATGAGGGAGGGAAGAAGGGAGGGAGAGAATAAGAATATGAGTGCATGTGCAAATAGAGAGAGACAAGGTATGTTAGCAATAGGTAGGCTGCACAAAGGGCTCTGGATGCTCTCTGTACTGTTTTTATGTTTGTAACTTTTTGTGCATTTGAAATAGCTTCAAATTAAGCAGTTGATCAAGCTACTTCTGCTTTTTGTTTGTACACTTTTGTTCGGAGAAAAAATTTAAATGAACATGTATTAACTTTGAAATAAAGATAAAAAAAGAAAATACAACCTAGTATTTCAGTCGATGATCCCACTGTTTTAAACTGCTTTCTATTAGCTTGCTTCTACAAACACAAAGTTTCAAATTGAAATTTAATTTGATCTCTTAGAAAGTTTTTGAATTCAATTAATTCTCAAGAGAATATTTTTCAATTTGGTTTTGGTCTGTCTGGAATCCATTTTAAAGAGTGCAAGTCATAAGAGCTTAAGACATAAAAGAAATATAGATCTTTCAGATGCTGGGAAACAGGAAGCTTTTAACGCAAAGCCAGTCCCAAAATCACTATCATTCCTTCGCTTTAGTGGCCTTTCACCCAGTGCATGGCTATCTTGTCCTTAATTTCCCTCTAATCTCTCTAACAAATGGATTTGTTGCAGTTTGGCAACAGGGTTAGTTTCTGTCTTAGAGGAGAAAGAAATCAAGTTGTTCTTGTCTCATTTTCAATAGTGGGTTAAATTTGCTAGAACTCCAGTTAAAAATTTTATTAAAGTAGTAAAGTCTTTTTCTTAAATAAAATTCTTCTGTGAATTGAAGAATTTTATCAATGATTTCCCCTCATTTTTATTCATGACTTTTCATTTAGTTCAATACAATATCTCACTTTGATAGATTTCTTAATTCTTAATATTGAACCACTTTTCAAAATGATCTTCTATGAACTCAGTATACGTATCAAATAAAAATGGAGCTGCTGGGGCTGGAGAGATAGCGCAGCAGTTAGGAACACTGACTGTCCTTGCAAAAGACCTGGGTCAAATCCCAGCACCCACATGGCAGCTAACAACTGTCTGTAACTCCAGTTCCAGGGAATCCAATGGTCTCTTCTGTCCTCTGCAAGTATTGCACAACACTGGTGTGCTTACCTACATTCAAGTATAACACTCATTAGGGTCCTTCCTGCTCAGGAGCCTGCAGCAAATCCTGGGTTAGTTTCTAACTCAGTGCTAGAGAAAAGAACCATGATGGGCCTGCTATTCTGGCTTCCTAAGCACAGGGACAAACTGAAGAGTCAACTGTCTGTCTTCTTTGCTTCTTTGGTGGAACTTATTTTTGGGATATAAAAAGCAGCAGAGGACCTGGAGCAAGAGCAATCACCTGCTTTTCCTCAGGAGGCAGTTTACTCCACTCATTGCCCAACATCCTTGTGATTTCTGGAAATGGGACTTCTGGTCTCTTTGCTCGAAGCTGTTCTCTGCGCTCATTCATGAATCGAACATATCCTGTAAGAGGGGATTTGGGTGCATTGCTGTCTCGAAGGGGTTTCTTCCTTTTTCTCCCTTTTGACCAACCTCCTCGTTTACTTCTTTGCTATAAAACAAAGCAAAATGAAAAGCCAAAAACCAAAGAACAATCCTCCAAATAACCCATCAACAACAATAATAACAGCAACCTCAAAAGAGGACAAGAGTTGCATTTTCCTGTGAGTAAGACCCTGGCTATCCAAAGCCCTCCAGATGTGTTAAAAGATTGCAATGCTAAGTAAGGAGGGGTTTCAGATGGTTCACTTGAAGACTGTTTAATGTATCACACTACAAACTGGAGTAATAAAAGTCTATTCAATTTTTTTTTTCTGAGAGGAGGTCTCTTTAAGTTGTCTATACTACTCTCAAACTCATTATGTATGTATCCCAGGGTTGCCTCAAATTCACAGTGATCCTCTTGCCTCAGCCTCTTTCCTGACTGCTGGGATTGCAAGCATTTACCACCACTCTGGTGTATAATCCCCAAAGATGAGAATAGGAGGTAACATGATCATGCAAGCTTTGGCTTTCTTATGTACTATGCACTTCCTGACGGGGATGTTCTACATGAGAAATTCAGCAGCACACACAGCACTGTGCCAGAGCAGATGCTGTCACAGTAGATCAGAATAAGATGCTGCCCCATGTACTGAGTGCAGAAGAGATAAGCTATAGCACAAAGATTAAAAATAATTCATGAAGGTGTTTCTCACTGATACCCAAAAACCAGATTATTTCCCATAGCAAATAGCATATAGATATTTAAATTAATATTTAGGTCTCAGGAAAATTTCAGTAATACATCCAAAATGGAGACTAATTCTTTGGCTTGGTGATTTGTTCCTTAAGATATATATTTTATAAAGTTAGAAGTCTTTTTAAATTGAGTTATTAGTTAAATCAAAGATCAAATCAACTTTTAACATGCCTTAAAAAAGGACTGCAGTGTCACTCAGGTTTTAATGCAGCATTTCTTCCCGGCCTTGTAAATGACACTAGTGCACATCATATTTTGTTCCATAATTTAGCAAATATACATAGTCTATCAGTTAATGTTTCATGGACAAGAATTCTTATTTCAGAGAAGAGAAAGGTAAACAAGATTTAAAAAGGGACAAAAACGTCTAAGTATTGACTGTGGTAAAGCACCCTTAAATATATGTAAATTGTTGTGATAATTCTCCCTTTGGCAAATGGTGCCAAATATTAGGTTTCCATTTTTCTTTCCTTTTATAAATTTTTGTAAATCTGGAAAACATTACGGTATAAGAAGCCTAGGGATACAGTTCTATGGACAAGTATGTACTTAGTATGAACTGCTAGTATTCCACACAAACAAACCAACAAACAAGTGAATGAAGCTACAAGCATTCACTATTATCTTTAAGAATGCTAATGGGATAGATGAACAAACTAGTCTTTTCACATAAGAGAAAAGACAAAAATCAATGGTGCTATTTTCTGTCTCAAAAAGACAAAAAAAAAAAAAAGTGCTTTAAAATACAGGCAATGTGATCAGTCATCTGTAAGGAAGACTGCAGGCTGGAGGTCCAACAAGGGCATGGCTGCCCATGCCCACACTTAACCTTTGTGTGCTTTTGAGAAATATGACCCCCATGGGAGGGAGAAGAAGCCAGTAAGTAGTATGGATCCTTTGGGCACATATGAACTGTGTTGCAGAGCTTGGTGAGCAGAATGTGACCATGAACAAGGGCATGAGGACTTCTCAGTAGTTATTAAATTAAATCACTCACTCATAAAACAAGCATTTTTCCAACATATCCCCCTACCCAAACATTAGTGAACAGCTAATAGGAGGCTGCCACATTTGCTTAGGCTGAGAATAAAAAGATTTCTATTCTATTCTATTCTATTCTATTCTATTCTATTCTATTCTATTCTATTCTATTCTATTCTTTTATGCTGTTCTATGCTATTCTATTCTATTCGTCATTAAAACCATTAATATAGATAGTTCTATGTAAAGCAAGAAACATGTAACAGAATACTGGGCAGGTGTCAGCTTAGAAACTAGGACGCCAGATGACAATCAATCAACTTCTCTGATGTTTGCTGCTTTGGAAGCGTCACTGGTTGAAGACAGGAGGCTTCAGCTTACCTCATCTTCATGCCTCTGCTCACTGCCTTCTGCAGCATTTGAAGACTCACTCTGAAGCAACTGACCCTGGGAGAGATCCTCCACAAATTCTGGATTATTGGTGGACGATGTAGCTCCGCTGCCATATGGAAGCTCTGAGTGTGTTAATCTGAGCAACAGGGAGAAGCATAAAAGTTCAATATGGACAGCAACAAAAACTTCTCTTACCAGGTTGAACACAAATTTTCCTGCCAGTAAACACACATGCCAGTACTTGAATTAATTCCATCAGGGCAATCTGTAAATTGTACACAATGAATCCAGAGATATTTCCTAGGCAAACCAGCTTTAATCTTTGTCCAAAACAATGACTTCTCTCAATAAAGACTTCAATTTTAATTCTGAGCACACAACAAAACATGACTTTGATATGCTACCTTTCATATGTCTCCAATGTGAAGATGAAACACAAGTAATGGACCAGATGAATAGGAATGGGAGTTATACAGAAACTTTGTCCCCTATAGCAAAAGAATGATTTCTTAAAGGGCATAAGAAATAATACTTATGGAATATAACATAGGCTATAATTTCTTGGATTACAGATTTTAGTGACAATCAGATCAGCAAGGAAAGCTAGTGTAGTATGTTCAACTATATATATATCAGTGTTGGGGACCAAACTCAGAGTCTTACACATTAGGTAAATGTTTTACTCTGAGTTACATTCTTAGCCAAAGCATAAATTCTAATAAGTCAGGTAGGTATACTGTTCTGCTCCCAGTAGTCTGTTCTTAATGAGCTAGCAAATCAGGTCTCATCCTTCTAAGAAGTAGACAAGGAAGATCTAGATAACAGGTGGCTGAGTCTTAGATTGGCGTGTGCTAGGAAGTTATTTTTCTGAGGGAAAGGACTGGAAAGGTAAGAGGCAGGAAGATGGATAATAGAGTAAAATTCAGTTAATACACTGAAAGAATGCACACTCCATAGGGTTATACGCAATACTCACTATGAAATCTAAGTACTGAAATAGAGGTTTATGAAAGTGACACAGAGGCAGTGTAGAGGTTAAGATGAATTTTATATGTATGGAGAGGATGCTAAGAAAGATTTCACAAAGGAGGCCTTGAAAGATGAATAGGCATTCTTCAGGTAACAACATCATCACAGGCAGAAAGAATAGCATCTAAGAGAAGAAAGGGAGCCCTGTTAGGAGCTATGTTGCAACCTAAGAAGATTAAACATGGGCATGATCAAGAGTAGAGGAGCAAAAGCTAAGAGACACAGAAGTGGGAGACTGGCAAGAACTCAATGAATGAACAAACATGAGTAGTGAAGGAAAAGTAGAGTCTAAGATAATTCCTAGATTTTCAGTTGGTGGTTATGTATTTACTATTAATCATGGACAGAATAGATATGTGAATGAGACAGACACACAGATGATAAGATGATGACTTTGAAATTATTATAACATAATTAGTGGAGATATCCCACAGACAACAGGAAACATGCCCTGAGACACAAATAAAGCTGCAGGACAGCAATCCAAGGAACAGTGGGCGGTGCTAGATATCCTCAGAAAACAACGAGAAGCCACCACAGATCATGGTTGGGATGATACCATTTTAGAAACCCTAGGAAAGGAGACTGAAGAATTTGGAGAACATAATGCAGGAGATAAGGCAGTGAGACGTTAAAGAAAGGACAATCACCAAGAAAGAAACTATTATGTCATGAAGATAGACTAAAAAGATTCTATTAAATTTGGATACCTGAAGGTTGAGCAGTGCTAGGGGAGTGTAGTTTTAATGGAATTATAGGAATGAACCCCAGATTATGGTAGATGGAACAATGAATGAAAACAGATGCAGACTACAGTGTGAATGAAATAAATTATACTTCTCTGGCTTTTTCTAGGAAACACACTGATTTTATATAGGAGGTGTCTACATTTCTGGGGTCCTTTAATAAGAGTGTGTCTTAAGGAAGCCATGAAATCCACTCTAATCATATTCTTTAAAACGAAGGGTCAACAAGGTCTGGCTTGGTCTTGGCAGCATTAGCTCCCAAGCGCTTCCTTCAATTTGGACATCTCAGGAGGCTCATTCTTTTACTGTCACTCACATTTCAGTTGTAACCAGTTTTACGTTCCTAACTTTTGTATATTTTTCTTTCTGCAAAATATACAAATTAGGTTTAGGAAAGAATAGCAATCTCAGGAATTCCTGATGGATTTGGACAGGCATCTGACAGGAGTGGCCACAGGTGCCCACTGTCTCTTTGCTGTGAACAGACTATTCATGATCCTAGTTAAGGGACACAACCCTTCCATTTCTGCCTTTGAGCTCACTCTCTGGGCGACTAGGGACAGGTTTCCAGCAGTTTTGCCCATCCTGGACTCACCAATTCTTTCTTTCTATACAATCAGCATAATCTGTAGAAAGTGTGATAGTATAACTTTTAAAACAAAACAGATACTGTCTTTATTCCACTTCTGGCTGTGATTTTTTTTTTTTTTTAAACCTAACTTTCCTTTAAAGCAAGAGTCCCTGGAAAGAACTGGCTATACAACTGACTGCATTGTTCTTCTCCCATCCTCTCTGGAACCCATTTCTTTTTCTTTTCTTTCTTTCTTTTTTTTTTTTTTTTTTTTTTTTTTTTTTTTTTTGTCTTTTTGAGACAATGTCTTCCTGTAGCCCCAGCTGGCTTGGAACTCACTATGTAGCTCAGGATGGCCTTGAACTTACAGAGATCTGCCTGTTTCTGCACCCAGCTAAGCCATTTCAAAGGAGATGCAGGCTTACAACTCTTATCTAGGCCACCGGAGAACTTCATGCTAAATCCAATGTCACCTCTCAGTCCTCATCTAATCTACCAGAACAATCCTGGCACAGTTCGTCTGTTCTTGACCCTTGACACGCTCTGCTCTTTTAACTCAGTTTCTAGCCTCCTTGTGTGGCTGTTTATTCTGCTACCTCTTAGCTCCTCATTTTGATCTTGGCCAGCTCCTTTGCCTATATTTTAAATGTTGGATTCTCCTAGAGCTCAGGCTTTTTAGACTTTTTTTTTTTGATAATTTGTACAGCACTCATTCCTTCAGTGATTATACCTAGTCTCATGGCTTTAAATATGAGCTACATGCTGATGATCCAAACTTTTTCTTTCTAGCCTAAACTCCCCTAACTTCAGAACCTGGTATGACACTGCCTATCTGAGATCCCTGCTCAGATCTCGATAAGCATCTCAAATTTAAAATTTCTTGAACTGAGTGTCCCTCCCCTAACTGTTCAGTTTCCCTAAGTTAATGGCAACCCCATCTTTTCCAGTTGCTGAGGCCAAACCTTGGGAACTGTCTTTGCTTTTTTTCTTTCCCTTCTCATACTGTTCATCTGGTCTTTCAGGCATAATACTGTTGGCTTAGCTTCAAAATATGTCTAGAATTCTATACTTCTCATTAATTCTATCTCCCCCCACCTTTTTTATTTTTTGTCTTTTTGAGAAAGAGTTTCCCTGTACCCCCAGGTGGCCTGGAACTCACTGTGTAGACCAAGGTGCCTGGACTTGATCTCACAGAGATCTAACTGCTTCTGCCTCCCAAGTGCTGGGATTAAAGGCGTGTACCACCACACCTGGCATCCATTCCCACATCTTTAGAAACATATAACAATGGGTTTTTGTCTCCATGATCTCACCATGAATGCTCTGGTCAAAGTTAAGAGTGATGTTCTTCAGGCCATCATCTCTCATCTCATCTGAATTACTCTGAGAGCCTCCTAACTGGTCTTCTTGCTCTAGCCCTTGCTCCCTTCAGCCTACTGGTAGCACAACAGTAAGACCATCAGGAAGTAAGTCAAATCTCATCATTCTGCTCCAAAACCTCTAATTCTTAAAGTTAAAGGACCTTGGGGCTGGAGAGATGGCTCAGTGGTTAAGAACACTGACTGTTCTTGCAGAAGAGCTGGGTTCAAATCCCAGCACCCATATGGCAGCTAACAACTGTCTGTAACTCCAGTTCCAGGGGATCCAACAGCCTCTTCTGTCCTCTGCGGGTGTTGCACGACATGGGTGCACTTACTTACATGCAGACATAACACTCATACACACACACACACACACACACACACACACAAAAAAAAAAAGGACCTCATAGATCCTGCATGTTGACCCTTACTACCAGAGTACAGCCTATCAGCATCTCTGGCATTACCTGGAAGCTCATTAGAAACAGAATCTCTGGTTCCTCAGACTTTCTACATCAGAATTTTCATTTTACTAAGATCTATAGGCAATTCACAGGTACACTGAAGAAGCACCCATGTAGCGTTCTACTGACCCTCACCCTGCAATCTGCTGCTCTAGTCACATAACCCTTCTTGGCGATTTCTGCAAGACAGAGACATTCTTACTTCAAGGATTTTGCCTTGATTGTTTCCTCTGCCCAGAAAAATCTTCCTTAGATAACAGCATGCTAGCTCCCTTACTTTTGAGGAGGGAGCACATTATTCAAATCACTTTCTCATTAAATGCCTTCTTGGCCACTATCTAAAATGGTACTCCTAAATCCTTATAATCCTTCTTTCCTACTTTTTATTTTATGTGTATGAGTGTTTTGCCTGCATGTATGTGCTTGCCTGGTACCTGAGGAGGCCAGAGATCCCCTGAAACTGGAGTTATGGATGGGTGTTAGCCATCATGTGGGTGCTGGGAACTGAACCTGGGGTCCTCTGGAAGAGCATTAAGTGCTCTTAACTGCCAAGCCATCTCTACATTCTTAATCCATAGTTTTAAATCAATGTAGTATGCATTTTACTTATTTATTCTGTTTAGTGTCCCATTTTTTATTAGAATTTAAGCTGTAAAGGACTAAGAAGCCAGATGTGATGGTCCATGCTTATAATTTCAGCACTCAGGAGGTAGAGGCAGGGGTTTACTGCAAGTTTGAGAACAGCCTGTTTTGTCTACACAGTAAGTTCCAGGCCAGCTTGGGCTACACAGTGAGACCCTGTCTCAAAACCAAAATAAAAAATAAAATGAAAAGACTAAGTTCATTGTCTTTTTTGAAGTTTGTTTTAAATCTAATGCCTGAACAATGGGTATACAAACTAAAAATTTTTACTGAATGAACTGATTAAGTAACTAGGCAGCCTTTAGAAAAGTCTTGAAGAACAATTTCATCTAAGTGGTGAGGTCAAAAGGCAGATATTAATGAGGCAAGAAATAAATATGGGGGAAGGAAACAGAATTATAGGGTGTAGGCTATTTTTTAAAGTGTTCTAAAGAATATTAAAATAATTCATCTTAGGGATTAGCTAGCACTTTAATTTACTAAGGAGTATATTGCTTCTTTGGCAAATGGTTTCTAAATACCTAAAAAAAATAAAAATTCAAGTGGAACAGAATTTCAAGACAAGAGATGGACTACTGGGATTAACTTTTCTCTGAATTCCTTTACATATTTGTTTAAAAATGCCATAGAAAAGTGATGGGAAAAGTGAAAGAACATAAGTCAGCTAAAACTTCTAAGCATCTACCCAGGCATCGTGGCAACATGCCTTTGATCCCAACACCTGGTAGGCAGAGGCAGGTGGATCTCTGTGAGTTCAAGGCCAGCCTGGTCTACATAGTGAGTTCCAGCCCAGATGGGGCTATAGGGAGACCCTGTCTCAAAAAAGACCAACATTGCCTCCCACCCCCCCAAAACACCCCAACTTCTAAGCATCCCAATTGTGGGCTGGAGAGATGGCTCAATGGTTAAGAGTGCTTGTTACACAAGTATGAGGACCAGAATTTGGATCCTAGTACCCACATAAAGGCTGGGCATAGCCTGCAACTCAGCACTGAAGGGAGCTAAGATAGGTGGATCACTGGGGCTTGCTGGCTGCCACCTCAGCCAAAACACTAGTGCATACCACACACACACACACACACACACACACACGCACAGTCTAATCTGAGAAAAAAATATTTTAATAACTGGCAACTTGAGAAAACGCATTTGATTTTTAGAGCTCACTCTCTGGCAGGTATTTCCTTTGCTAGGTCTACAGTGCTGCTGCACCAGTTCACAGGAACCAGAGCGCTGCAGACAGCTGAAAGCATATTACAAGTGGTTTACAACAGCTCTCTTAAAAAGCACAACAAATATACTTTCTAGTCTCCTGATATAAAACTGCCTCGTTAGCATCTCACACTTTGTCAGATGCTGAGTTCTGAAGCTTCTGCAGAAGGCCAATGTCTCAAAGCAGTTGCTTACCCAGTTGTAGCCAGATCATTACTCTCCTTGCAACCATCTTCATCTGCAAAAAGGGGCGGCAGGGTAGAACTAGTCATCAAACTTTCCATCTCCCTGGAAGGAAGAGATAATAATAATAAAAAAAATAATGGCTTCATTACTTCTGGTTCAAGTTCTACTAATTTAAGAGCCAGCCTTCCTTAACTTTATCATGTCAGTAGCAGAAAAGAAACTGACCTAAATATCTGTTTTCTATTGTTAGTGGGCTTTTAATTGTGGTCTTATCAACTAACCAGAATAAAAACCAAGTTTGGGGGCTAAGGAAGTGGTCTAGTGGGAAAGGAAGAGTGCTGGCTGCACAAGCATGTGGATCTGAGTTCAATCCCCAGCACCCACGTAAAAAGCTAGGACTGGTCCCCCAGTGTGCCTATAACCCCAGCATGATGCAGACAGGAGAATTGCTGGGGCTTACAGGCTGGACAGTTTAGCTGAAAGAGCAAGCTGCAGGTTCAGAGAGACTCCAGCTTAAGGGAATAAAGTAGAGTGATTGAACAGGACACCTGACATCCTTCTCTGGCCACTGCATGTATGTATGAGTGTTTGTACATGTACCCCACCCCCCAAATCAATAAAAATAAGTTCAGTTTTAACAAGCTGGGCATGGTTTGGAAAACTCTTTATTCATCCTTCAAAAGTATTCTTTTTTTTAATTAAAAAAGTATTTATTATTGTGTGAATATATGTGTGTGAGGGCAGGTGCACCTTTGCCACAATTTGGTTATGGATGTCAGAGGCTAACTCTTGAGAGTCAGTTCTCTCCTTCTGCCATGGGTCCAAGTCAGGCTGTGAGTCTTTCACAGCAAGTACTTTCACCCACTAAGCCATCTTCCTGGACTTTCAAAAATATTCTTTGTTTCCTGTAGAAATCATTAAACAAAGTAATGCAACCCTGGCAAGACATTTAACCTCTCTGAGCTACAATTTCACTATAGCAGACAAAATTGCTCACTTAACCTACCGAGTTATTGAGAAGGATTAAACTGAAAGTACTTCATAAAGAGAATGGCTAAGACAGCAAATACTTTGAGTATTACTATATACAGTATTATTATTACAACATTACCAGTTCTCAGTCCTACATGAAACATGCTTAGATTAAATGGTGACAAACTGAGCCCTCCAAAAGGAAATAATGCAAAGGAAGTAGAGGATGGAACATACAGACATGGTTCTAAGTCAAAGAAACCACAGTTCCAGGTCAGAAGCATGCGCCACTTCACTTGTCATAACCAACACAGCACAAATAGCATGCACCTGGGTACAGGAAACAGCTAAGCTTAATGGAAGAAAATAAATAAATCACAAGAACCTGAGGTCATCAGACTGAAAGGATAAAAGAAGAAAATGACAAAGAGAGTAATTTCATTTAGCATATCATTGCAAAGAAGGATTTTTCCCTTTCAAGGCGTGCCACCAAGGCTTCACCCCATACAGCTAAAAGCAGCAGCATGCCATTCATCATGAAAGTGATACCCACACATAACATTCAATAGTGACCCCAAACATCAGCCACTCAAGTGGAACTGCAAAGCACTCTCAAGAGAAAAGCCTCAATCACTGGGAATTGAGAAGTAAATGATGTGAATTCACTGAGGCACTCAGCAGTCCTTCAGGTGCAGCTGTTAAGGAGCTCTAGTGAGGGGGTGACTGAAGGAAACCATAGCAGCTATGGCAACCCAGTGTTCCTCTTGCTCAGGGGGAAGTGGGAAGAAATCACAGGGACACCAACACACATTCTCAATGTTTAATGGAGTGATTTACTTCCCAAGCTAAAACTGATGTTTTATTTCTTGTTCTTATTTAGTTTCACTTCTAAATTTATTATTTAGCAGGCCAAGATCCATAAATAGCTTAATATGACAAAAAAAGCCTCTCTGTACATATCTTTTGCAGTACAGTATATAGAGCCTGGCAGGCAGAGTAAGGAGTTCAGTCCATGTGCAAGGAAGCTTGTGACCCACTTTCAGTTCCCTCAAGACGGTGTTCACAGTGGAATGGCTCTAAAAAAAAAAAAAAAAATCCTCCAGAATTCCACTCTACATGGTTTCTAGAAAGAGTCCAACTCAGCTGTACATAAATTTTAATTCATATTATACAAGACCAGATGAGAGTTGGGCTTTCAGGGCTGCTAACACCAGTGCTAATGTTCGTTTATCACTTCCTACCCATCCCCAAAAAAGATCAGTTAGATGCCATATAGCCTAACTGTACTGAGGGAACATTCACATAGCCAGTTCTATATCCCCAACCTTAAAAGGTCTCAGTTGATGGGTTTATTTTTTAAAGTGTCCCTATAAATCACCAGCCTTTCAAGAACCTCAAAATTTAGAATCTGAAGCTCTTGGCATTATTCCCACATATCAAAATGGAGTACATTATCTGGTAGGGAACAAATGAAGCCCTCTTTCATTTACCATGTCAACATGGTCCCTTAGAGTGCTCCCTAGATATCTTTAGTCATTTATGAAATAGAGGGAGGCAGCTGGATAACATAACCCTAACAACATATAAACAGATCATATAAACAAAGGAAGTTCAGAGAACACACATTTCTTCTCCCCCCTACCCCTTAAGTTTGTTTTACTTAACCCATATGGCTTCAGATACATTTTCTCAGTGTTTCTGAGCAGTGAGGCCTCTAAGAAATGAGTAATAAAGTGGGTGGAAGATGAAGGGGCCAAGATCAACAAAAGAAGGAAATGAAGAAAAGTCCAGTGAAACCCAAAGGCTTCTAAAGCAGTTCAGTAAGTTGGAAAATAAAATGCTTCTCAAGAACGTGGCTTGAATCCCACAAGAATAAGCTTTCATCTGAGGTCCGTGAGGGGGTGATTCAAACTGAACCATGGCTACTAAGCCACTAAATGCCAAAAGCCCTTCGAGTGCAGTATCTGTGCCTGATAATGTACCAGTACAGAGGTCACAGTGAACTTTAAAATCCCATGTAAAGCATTTAAGAAATTTAATGAATGCAGCTCTGGAAGGAGAAAGAAATATGTACAAAAGCAAAGCAAATACACAAGTTTGTTCCTTTGCTGTAGTTTACAATACTTCCTGGCATGATCTACCCAAGTCTTCTGTCTGTAGGTTTCAAAAATGGTATTATTTTGAGGCTTACATTTTGACTTGGGTCTGCACCTTAGCTTGAGAAGTCCCAAAATTATCTGTAACACTAACCACTCACTTAGCAGAGGGCTAATTTAAGATATTTTAATAACTGATATAAAATTATACTAAATTGCAATAAAATTTTAGTCATACTAACTGACCAATTTATACATTCTCTCTCTGTAATAAGTTGGGGAACCAAGTCATAACCAGAACATAGCTTTTGCGATCTGGAGATGGCTCAGAGGATAAAACACTTGCAACACTAAGAGTGAGGATCTGAGTTCAAACCCCTTATGTAAAAAGTAGGTGTGGTAGCTGCCTGTAACCCCAGCACTTGGGAGGCAGAGACAGAGGAACCCTGAGGCAAACTGGCTAGCTAAGACTAGATGAATCAAAGAGCTCTGGGTTCAACTGAGAAACCTGCTTCAATAAAGAGAGCAAGACTCCCCATGTCAACTTAAGGCTCCCACATGCATGCACATACATGTGCAAGTACACTCTCAAACACGTGCGCTTCCAAACAACAATAACAACAGCAACAGCAACAGCAACAACAACAACAACAACAACAACAACAACAACAGGAATGTGGCTTTGGTTAATATGGGGCCACAAAAAATGAAACTGGATGAAGTTTAAGAAGTTCCCTGGGGGCTGGAGAGATGATGGTTCGGTGGTTAAGGGCACTGGCTGCTCTTGCAGAGAACCAAGGTTCAAATCCCAGCACCCATATGGCAGTTAACAACCAGCTAACAACCATCTGTAACTCTAGTTCTAGGAGATCCAACACCCTCTTCTGTTCTCTGAGGGCACTGCACGACACAGTTGCACTTACATGCAGGCATTAATTACACTCGTACACGTGAAAAAAAATAATTTTTTTTTTTTAAAAGAAAAGTTCAGGGTTGGGGATTTAGCTCAGTGGTAGAGTGCTTGCCTAGCAAGCGCAAGGCCCTGGGTTTGGTCCTCAGCTCAGGGTAAAAAAAAAAGTTCAGCCAGGTGTTGTGGTGCATGCCTTTAATCCCAGCAGTCAGGAGACAGAGGCAGGCAGATCTCTGTGAGTTCAAGGCCAGCCTCGGCTACATAGTGAGTTCCAGGCCAGCTGGGGCTACAGGCCTGTCTCAGAAAAAAAAAAAAAAGAAAAAAAAGTTCCTTGGACTAACAAGATGGCTCAGTGGATAATCTTGTAGTGCAAGCCTGATGACCTGAGTTTTACCTCATGGTGGAAGATGAGAACCAACCCCTGAAAGCTTACGGCCTTCACTTGTGGGTAATATGTACATATGCCTATCTCAAAACAATGTTCCTAGAAACTGCTAGCAACCTAGGAGGACCGCGCCTCACCTTGCATGGAGCTGTATGCATACCCTCTCCAAACAATGGAGTAAGTTTCTCTTTTTATTAACAACTATCAAATAGTTTCTATTCAATCCTACTCCAGCTATACCGGGTATAAGAGTAGGGGCTACTGATCTGGCCTGAACTAGGTTTTGGGTCCAAGTCTCTCTTCTCTAAGAAGAAAGCATCGGATCCCCTGGAACTGAAGTTTTGGATAGCTGTTATATGCCATGTGGGTGCTGGGAATTGAACCCCAGTCCTCTGCAATAGCAGCCAGTACTCTTAACTGCTGAGCCTTCTCTCTAGCCCTGTAAACTATGTCTTCTAAGTGAACTTGTAGGGAGAATCCTCTATCATCTTAGGCTTATGCATAATTGGGTATGCTTATGACTCAAGTCAGATCCATTATAGATGGGACATATGCAGTAGAGAAAAGTTATATAGCCCAATTCTATTAGTCAAAACTGGGAACTTCCCACATTAGACCCCTTAGTCACCAGCCCTTCCTTTAGACCCCATTAAAAAGCCCCAGGCAATTATCTGGGGCCCTTAAGCATGTAGCTGGCTATGACTCTTGATAGTATATTTCTTTTCTTTCTTTTTAAAAA